TCTGATGCTGGGCAAGCACTGTATCAACTGGGCTACATCCCCAGCTCCCCTTCCTACCCCTCCTTTCTCTCCAACCCTACCTTTTCCCCAGACTCTCATTTCTTGCACCTGATGTCTATGGCCTGAGGCCCACGGCATCTCTGTACATCTGCTTCAACACGAAGAAATCCAGATCAATCCTACATCTGTACAGTTGCATCTCCATTTCTTTCTCACCAGCTGCTCTTATACCTATGTTGCCACCTCCATATAACTATATCCACATGTCCACAAATGATCTTAAAGAGAAAAGCTAGGAGCTATGTCCCAGATGAACCATGCTTGACTGTTATCTTTCAGTTTGGTGTGTTACTATGCCTGTGGGGTGTGTTAGATTGAAATCCTCCTTACAGGAGAAGGGTTGTGTGTTTCATATTTCTTTTCATTTTCACAAATAGGACTTTTGCATAAAGTGTGTCCAGTGATATTAACCAGTCTAGTAGTTTATCTCTACTTCCCACAGTCACTCAACTTTATACATAGGCCTGGCATTGAAGTGCGGGGACTTTGGAGACAGACGGCCATGACAAACCCTGACTCACCCACCACATCTTTCCAAATACAGGATGCTGGGCGATTTAGACTCTCAGAGTCTCATTTTCCTCAACAGTAAAGCAGAGATAAGGATGCCAATGTGTGTTTCGCAAATGGTCTAGCAAGGGTTAAAGGATAAATGTTTTGCTAGGAGCGGTACAGTGATGGGGCGATTCTAGAGAGTTCTGAAAGGGGGTCAGTCTGACTGTTTCTCTTCCTTGTTCATCTTGGACTCCAGGAGCTGGTATGCCACAGCTGGCAGAGACGTCAAATCACGCTGTACTCCAGGTGCTGAAGGGAAAAGCGGAACTGGAGGGAGTTCAAACCACATCTATAGGCGAGGCTTTCCAAAACGTTGGTGTTGAAGGGAAGGAGAAAGACGGAATGAAAGCTTCAGAGCAAGACAGGAAGCGTTCCAGGGCAATGAGGGAATAGCTGGGCTTTGAGATGTTTTCAGTCTCACCCCAGGATGTCGGGAGGGAAGGGTCTACACTGGCTCTGTGTAATCACAAACAGTGAAAGCTACAGCCTTCAGCATCATTTACCTCCTCGGGAGAAAGTCTCAATGCCGGACTCCCTGGTGGGAAAACTGCTGTGGGTATTAAATTATTGGGTGCACAGCTGGATTAAATAACCTTTGTATCCTTTCCATCCTGATAAGATGACTTTAAAGACAATATTGGCGATAGCCAATTTTCTTTTTTTTTAATTTGTGTGTGTGCATGTATGTCACTGTATGAGTCCAGGAGCACACACACCAGGGGACAGATGTGACAGCCAGAGGACAACATTGGGTGTTGGCTCTTGCCTTCCTTAGCTGGCCCATGAACTCCCAGGAATCCTCCTATTCCTGCCTCCTCAGAGCTGAGATTATAGATCCAAGCCGCCGAATCTAGCTTTATGTAAGTTCTAAGGATCCAAACTCAGGTCCGTGTGCTTACGTGGCAGTCGCTTCACCCACAGCCCTGTAACAGGGGGCTGAGTCTGACTGTAGGCTCACCATATGTCTGGCATGGTGCCACAAATGCTGCCCCTGCTCCCTCAAGGTCTTCTCTGCAACAATCTCGTGACCTTCTATCTGTGAGACCTTTTATCTCCGTCTTACAAATAAGGAGCCATGGGACATGGCTGAAGCTGAATGACTTGTCCCCATGAAACAGACAGCACGCAGCATCAGTGATAGTTCTAAGCCGGGGTTCTCAACCTTCCTAATGCTGCAGCCCTTTAATACAGATCCTCACGGTGTGCTGACCCCCAACCATACAATTATTTCATTGCTACTTCATAACTGTAATTTTGCTACTGTTGCAAACGGTGATGTAAAAATCTGATATGCAGGATATTTGAGATGCAAGCCTCCCCAAGGGGTTGAGACCCACAGGTTGAGAACCACTGCTCAAAAGCAGAACCCCCACCAGTGTGCCACACCTTCATGCACCTTTGCTCTCAGCAGAAAGACAACGAGGATCCCGGTTACAGAGGACTTTATATGAATATTTACAAGCACATGTGGAACCGCTTAAGGGTGATTGATTCTGGAAACACGCTTGCATGGTTGGGACCGGACCAGTGAGTAACTGTGTTCGTGAAACTTTCCCCATGGGAAATAATTCCGCCATGAAATTATAGACACCATCTTCCTGGGCCAAGCTCTGTCCTCACATGTCGCTGTCCCTGAGCGCTTTGCATTTCATGAGGATGAGAGTCACCCTCTCTCTGCTCATCCAGGAAGGGCGTGTGCTGAAAAGCTAGGATGGGCTTATTTTGAAGAGTGTTTGGGGCTTTGCAAAATCTTGGGCAATCGAATCCCTCCCCAGCACTTGTATTTGCTTCCTAATTTTTTTTTTAAAGTTAAAATTCATCCAAATCTTACAGCCAAACAAAGCATGTGAAAACATCACAGAAAAATGATATTTGAAAAGGTCTGATTGCCCTGTGATTCATCAAGTGCAAGGCAGAGCTGACCTTGAAATTGAAGCAGACTGAACACAGGCTTGCTAGATCCTCCACAGAGAACAATAAGCAACTCCTAAAACATTATCTGAAGTGTTTTCAACTTCTGTGACATCTCCTAATGTCAAGATCCCTAATTACAGTGATTCATAAGCTACTAACTGATAAACCCATCAGGCATATTAACATCAATTAAATTATCCTTTTCTCTAATGCCAAGCATAAAAGCATAAATCAATAAGACAAGATTCTTATCTTATAGCACAGTTAATGGGACAAGTTAAAAGTTGCAAGACACAGGATAACATAAACACAGATTTAAATATATGAGCAGTGGTTTTTGGAAGACATATTCATTTATAAACAGAACTTCGGCAAAGACTATTGCAAAGTTCAGGCGACTGGAGTTTAAATAAGCGCCATTAATCCAAATTAAGCAAAATGTGAATTTTTCCAGATAAATCAAATTTAATCCTTCAAGAACCAAACCATTTTTTGAATGAACTTCTTGCTTGATACCTCTGAAAACTGGATCTTGAGAGAAAATCTGAAACTGAGCTGGTGCCTAACTAGAAGCTTTATGCCTACAGATAGTGTTCGTGGTCCTGGAAGGTATTCTGTACACTACTGGAGAAAAAGAAGTAATGGTCAATAGCACACAGCTACAACCCCGGGGACCCACAACAGCAACCTGTCTGCCAGATACATGGGTGCAACTGTGGCACAAAGGTTATGCGAGTCATCAGCCAGGTGTTTTAGAGTGAATTAAAGCCTGCTCCATGAGATGGAACCCATGTCTGGAAATGCTGCAATGGCCAAGAACCTAAGACTATCGGTCATGGGCCCTGGGGGAAATCCTACGACTATTATTCTGCTAAAGGAACATAAAATGACTCCTAATGACATCACTGTCTCACTGGACTTTCATCGGAGATTCCTCTTGCATGGAAATGAACAGAGATCCATAACTGGACAATGTGCAATGAATGAGAGACTTTGGAACACTCAATCCTACATGAAATGTCTTCACCAAACCCCTCCTCTCAAGGCTCCGGGATCCATCTGTGCAGAACAGGAGGTAGAAATGTTGAATGAGTAAGCGCCAGGGATGCTGGATGACTCCAAGGAAATAGTGTCACCAAGATACAAACAGGACAGATGCACACAGGAGCTCACAGAGACTGTGGCAGCACACGGAAGTCCCACACAGGGTCAAACCAGACAAAGTCCCAGCATGGAGAAGGGGAAAGGGACGCAGTCCCACCCCTAACCAAGAAGCTATGTGCGATTGGTACCTGCTGGGAAAGGGAAATCAGTTTTCTCCACTGGAGTATCACCGGGTATATCCACCACACTCCAGGGCAGGCCTCATCCTCGGGAGCTGTTGGCCAACATAAAATAGACTCTATGCTTTTCATGGGCCTTTTATTTCATTTT